CCCGAACCCCCCTAGAGGGACAGAGGTGCACTCACCACAGATTTCACAAAATCCTGTGGGAAAAACTGGTATTGCTATCCCAGCTTATAGCTTTCTTTAGGATTCATCACTGTGGAGTATAGTTCAACTTAGTAGTTATTTTCATCGGTTAACTCTTACTCACTCCTATTCACTTATGGCATTAGTGGTTTTAATAGGAGTTGGTATACATATTCAAGGGCGTGCAAAGTTCGGTTGTGTTATATAGTGGGCCAGTCTGGGCCAAAATGCCCGGGCCGATTTTTTGTCCCAGTCCAGCTCTGATGGACTCTAATTCTCAGAGACTACACAGCAAAATCCCCAGTGTTAAATTAACACTCTGAGTGTGGACTCATATAAACACTGAAGCAGTGTTAAAGTTAACACTGAAGCAGTGTTAAAGTTAATGAGATAATTAAGTGAATAATTGAGTGATGATTGAGCATCATTGAAGACACCTGATGATAACAAGCAGAATCACTGTAGGAGAAAACCGTAATTTTAAGTCACCATTATGGTGATTAGTATTTGCTTTAGTTGGGCTCTTGACCCTTTAATCATTCACTTCAGATTTTGTTTGGCTGCTGTATGTGAGTTATAACAGCCAGATGAACATATAGAAAAGGTGATCTGATGGTGTTGGTTGTGTTTCAACATAATCATTATTTCACAATCATTTGACCTGAATCACTGAACTCATGTATAGGCCAATTTCTGAGTTAGGTTTACTTTATTAATTATAGCAGCACTGTCCATGTATGGCATCATATTTTTAGCCTTTTCAATGAAACCAAATGATCAAAAAAAAAAAACGTCAAAAATTATTTATGTTGGTACACACAGACATCAAGAATTAGCATATGAATCTCAGCAATGGTGACAAACAGATCACTTCTGAACAAAAGCTCATTATTTATTCATGCAGCAATGCATGATTGGAGCCATGAATGAGTTTTTATTGGTGGCACCCAGAATGCACAACAACATGCTTTAATAATTGTCACCATTGTTGAGATTCGCAGGCTGATTCTTGATGTCTTTGTGTCTAAAAACTATATCAAATAAATTATTTAAAAAAAAAAAAAATTATATGAGACGTGTATAAAATAAAATTCTGTGGATTACTTTGTAAAAGTTTAAAACACTATGCTGTGCAAGAATAGTGCTGCAATAATTGATAAAGTAAACCCAATTTGGGCTCTATATGAGTTCAGTAATTCAGGTCAAATGATTGTGAAATAATGATTATGTTAAAACACAACCAACACCATCAGATCACCTTTTCTATATGTTCATCTGGCTGTTATAACTCACGTACAGCAGCCAAACAAAATTTAAAGTTAATGATTAAAGGGTCAAGAGCCCAACTAAAACACACACTGATCACCACAATGGTGATAACGGTTTTCTCCTTCAGTGATTCTGGTTGTTATCATCAGGTGTCTTCAATGATGCTCAATCATCCCTCACTTATTCACTTAATTATCTCATTAACTTTAACACTGCTTCAGTGTTAACTTTAACACTGCTTCAGTGTTTATATGAGTCCACACTCAGAGTGTTAATTTAACACTGGGGATTTTGCTGTGTACAGCAAGATCAGACAGCAAGTCCTGGGTAATGGTGCAGTCATGCAGAGCTCTACTCTGCAGTTGTTTGATGTTAATCAAACAACTCTACTTCAATGGCACAACAAGCGACTGAAGAGGCAGGAATGTAGTATTCTGCTGCAAGGGGTCAACTTGCCTGCCTCCATTCCTGTTGCTCCCGTACCTCTCCCACCAGTACAGGTACGCCCCACTGCTGCACCACCACAGCCTGCCCCTCAACATCAGTACCACTTGCCTCAAAGTACAGCAGGACAAGCAGTGGTCAAGAGGAAGTCTGCAGCTCCGGCCCAACGCACAGATTCTCTGCAGTCTATTCAGTTCAATTTTCATCCCACATAACACACTGTATATTACAGTTTTTTGAGTGAGCCTTGTAAGGAGTGTTGATTTTGTTTTTTGTATATTTTTTACCAGTTGATCAGAATCTTCTACCTTTATTGCTTGCTTGCTTTATTTATTTATTTTATATTTGTATTTTATATTTAATTATTCAATTCATTTGTCTGTGCCATGCTCACTGTGTGTGTGAGAGAGAAAGAGATAATTAAGATGTATATTTTGTAATAATTTTTTTATATATTTAAACAGCAAGGCCTTTATTTATTGCCAACATTCACTCAGAGAAGACAATTACATTGTTGCAGTACTTTCAATTCTATTTTCTTTCATGTTTAAATTAGATTGTATTAATGAATTGGGTATTTTTTCTCAAGCAATATGTAAAATGCATACATACAAACAACACATATGCATATGGTTATAACTTTTTATACATTTAAGTCGAAACATATGGTAATATTTCAGTTAGGGTTTTTGGTTAGAGATATTTCTATCTTTGTGTGTTTACTGCAATTATAATTTATCATCAGACATTTTTATCGTGTGTGTCTATATATATATATATATATATATATATATATATATTTTTTTTTATTTATAAAAGTGTCTCTTTCATTAATCATTTTGTGAGCCTGAGTCAAAACATTATTATAATAATTACTATTATTATTATAGGCCTATATATCTAATGTGTATAGTACATTTCAAGGAACTCCATATTCATATGGGTAATAAATAAATATAAACATGTATCCATACAATGAGAAAAACATCAATAAAATAAACATATGAAACCATTTGAAATTCCAGTGAAATATCACTATAATATACAGTTAGAAAAGAGTAATTTTAAAAAGATAATAAAGATTTGAACTAATAAAATAAATAATACATTTCAAGAAACCACATATTCATATAATAAATACATTTTAACAATTATCCATATATGTAAAAAAATACGTTTTTAAAAAATAAGTGTTAAGGCATAAAAGCACATTAAATTTATACATATGTGTTCATTAATTAAGAAAAGATTAGAAAATATATTGGGTGATTTCAACCTTGTCCGAGGTGGGACTCGAACCGACGTCGTTCACGTCAGTGATTTGCCCATGAAATATATAAAAAGGCAATTTTCTATCAAATATGAATACCAATCTACCAGAAAATCACACAGAAGTGTGAAAGGTGGGTTTATCTTTTCCTTTTCCTTTCCTTTTTCTCTTTTTTTTCCTTCTCTTTTCTCTCTTTTTCCTTCTTCCTCTTCTTCCCCTTCTTTTTCCTTCTCCCCTTCCTCAAACAGACTATTGTTCCCCAGGGTTCTGAGGGTCCAGGGTTCAAGTCCCTGTTCGGGCGAAGGTCTGTCAGTTTGTTGCAGACCTCCCCTAATCACTTGCTGTCCTCTTACCAGCCTTTGAGGGAGGTGGGCTTCCTCTTCAAGAAAAGATGTGGCGATGTGTTATTTCCCAGCATTTGGTGTTGTTTTGCCTTCTGTAATGCTTGTTTGCTGTCTCAGCAAGCAGTGGTGGGGGACTTTAGAGAAACGAGCTGAAGCTTGCTGTCGACTATGTATGTTCAGTCACTTCTAAGCGGCCGTGTGCAGGCCTGAGAGAGTGGTTTGCTTTCTCGGTATAGTGTTTAGTACTTTGTGTTGTGCCCGCAGCATCCCCAGTCCAAATCCGGATCACGACACTCTTTTCGTGTAGGTGAAGACGTTGTTGAACTCCTTTTTGCCATCACAGTATTTTAGTCGAGTGCATCCTCTGCTGCTCGCTTTTGCATTGATGGTTGGCCCCAGTGTCCTCTGTTGCTCAGTAGTCGTGGCCGGTTCCTAACAGTTCCTACCAGTTCCTAACAAAGTCCTACCAGTTCCTAACAAAGTCCTACCAGTTCCTAACAGGTCCTAACAAAGTCCTAACAATTCCTAACAGTTTTCCTACCAAGTCCTAACGTGGGGCAAAAGGACCAATAGGGAAAAGGGAAACATCCCTTTTCCCCATTGGTCCTTTTGCTCCACGTGACTTTAAGTGCCGTCTCTGACCGCATCAACGCGTAAAGTCAGAAAGAAGAGGAAAGCAGAGAAAAAAATGTCCGGTCGACAGTCAAGTTAACTTAGTGACAACAGAAGAAAATCGGTATGTAACGTTACAAGCAAATTTGAATTCTTAAACTATTAATTTACAAGCTGTTCTTTATATTGAACATAACAAACGGAGAGTGATAATGTTAAGTTATGCTGTCAACCATCTGTGCATCACTGCTAGCATCCCAGAAAGAGACTCTTATAATTAACAACACAACAAAAAAGTGTCTGTTAACTACGTGTCAAACTCTCTGTTATTTTTTTGCAATAACTTTAGTTGTTGTTGTTGCTGTTACTCGATGTAACGTTATCTCACGTTACAAATGGTGGACAACCATTTAAACGTCATGGATAAACTTTTCTTTTTTAATAAATAAAAATTATGTTTTTATTACCAAATCATCACCCTATGAAGATTATTCATAAATAAAAACTTAATTAAAAAATATTATGATTTGATGATATAATACTCATTGAAACTGAATGAATAGTACGCAAAAAAAATCTAGATAATGTCTCTAAAGAGCCAAGAAATGCTTGTTTATGAATAGAAAAACAACATGCAACCAACACTTCCCTATTCCCAATCATCAATATCTCAGTGTTTTCCCTGACATGTACACTGATATTTGTAGATATGACAAAGACAGGCAAACCCGACGGATACTGGACAGGTATCATGTACCAGTATGCGCTGGGGAAATACAAGTTTACCACAGGTAAGCGGCCAGGGGCCAGGAAATGGAAGGCTGTCATACAGCGGATTGATGCCTGTCCGTTGACTCCGCCGTTTAACCTACAAGTCCGGTATTATGACATCTTCGGGAGAAGAATCCCCTGCAGTTGTGGATATCATAAGGTAAGTAATGAGTATACTTAATGTTGAAATCTGTGGCAGTTGCCATAAGCCATTGTGTTAGCTTTGAGCTTTATAGGCAAATAAAAAACATCTACACAAGAAAATACATTAAATGTCCCATTACTTGTGTTTGGGTTGAATTTAAATTATTAACAATAATGTTTTAAACCTATTTTTAGACTAAGGAAAGAAAAGCTAACTCCTTTTTCACAGTCAGGCGACCAGACAGGTGAGGCACAGAGTGGCACCAGTGCAGGGATGCAGCAGTTAGGTCCCGTGGCACACAGCAGCTCCAGTGCAGGGATGCAGCAGTTAGGTCCCGTGGCACACAGCAGCTCCAATGCAGGGATGCAGCAGGCAGGCCCCGTGGCACACAGCAGCTCCAGTGCAGGGATGCAGCAGGCAGGCCCCGTGGCACACAGCAACTCCAGTACAGGGATGCAGCAGGCAGGCCCAGTGGCACACAGCAACTCCAGTACAGGGATGCAGCAGGCAGGCCCCGTGGCACACAGCAGCTCCAGTACAGGGACTCAGCATGCAGGCCCCGTGGCACACAGCAGTTCAAGCTGTCAGATTAAGTGCTGTCTTTGTAGCGAGAACATTAATGCTGAACCATTTTCAGAGCATTTATCTGACTTCCATGCAGAGGAATGTTGTGAGCAGTGTGGGAAGAAGGTCAGTAGTGCACTTGGGCTTCTCGAACATATTTCAGAAGGTCATGATCTTTCAGTCACCAGCGGGTATGCACCACAACAACCCCCACCACAACAACCCCCACCACTACAACAACCTCCTCCACAACCGAGACAACCTCCTCCACAACCGAGACAACCTCCTCCACAACCGAGACAACCTCCTCCACAACCGAGACAACCTCCTCCACAACCACAACCACCACCTCCTACTCGTGCTACATCGCCATATATTATCCCCCTGAGGCCATTGGTGGTGAATTGGCCAAGTTTTTTGCCTAAGCAGTTCATGCGGGTCATTAAGCCAGCTGACAGGGAGTGGATTGCCCAGTCCCTTTATGAACCCACAGGACAGCTGAAGCAACAGCTTTCACAAAACTGGTTCTATCCTCCCAGTCCACCAAAGGTGACAACTGCACCACCTGATCCAATGACCTACTTCAGGCAGAGGATGTTCCTGTGGGCACCAATGAGGATGTGGGGTATTCCGCTTAAGTGTCATCAGTGTAACCGCAAGATGCACCACTCTGGGATTTACACTAAGGCAAGGGAAGTGATTGACGTTGACACCAGGTACTACTTGATTGGAGGGGACTATCCACAATGCAGTAAGTGCATGATCCCCGTCTGTCCGTGGAGTACTGAGATGTTGGGACAGCTAGATCCTGCTCACAGAAACCAATTCCCTGCTGTTCTCACAACACAGCTGGCTCTGGACAGGAGGTGTGTTACAATGTTGAAACCCCGAACTGCAGGGAACAGCTCCAGTTACCTACAGAAAGCACTGGAGGAAGTTCACAGTGAGGAATGGGCAAGGCGGACAATTGACTACTTGTCTGACTGTGAGCTTCACAAAAGGAGAAGCTGCATGTACCAGTGTGAGGAAGCAGTCTATGAGCCACCACCACCTTTTTGCCCCCTACCTCTGGCACAGTGGTTTGAAACAGTGCATGCCAATGAGATCCTTGCTCACCTGGATGAGATGAAGGGTGTCATCACCTCAACATATGGCAGGATCTTAAAGCTTGACTCCACAAAAAAGGTACAGGCAGGTCTTTGTTTTCATCAGTGGTCATTGATTAAAATTGATAAGGGAACACTTAATTGATCCCCAGGCGCAGAAATGTGGGTGTTTTGTTGGCTATATTTATTGTGTTTTGAGTAATCTGTTTTATTTATTATTTGTTTATGTTGTAATACTGATTTATTTTTATAGATCACAAAGAAACTTGCTGGTGACATTGCGGACACAGCTACGTGGATGACAAACATCAGCAACGAATGTGGCCTGGTTCTGAACTGTGTGCTAACCACAGGTGAGGGAGCTGGTCTTGAGGACTTGTGCCAAGGCATTGTCAAGCGCTACCAGGGCGCCGGGGAGCCAGAGCCAGAAGTAATTTATGTTGACCGGGATTGCTGCAGCGAGACAGGTACAGTATATATTATACAGTGTATAGTTTGCTTCTGTTTTACCTTTCTATGATTGTTTTTTGTATACTGTATATTCTCTACTATGTAGCAGAAGGGAGTTACAATACTCGTTTCATTTTACAACCCTGCTGGATTGTGATCATTAAAACTACCGTCATAATGTTTGCGTTGTAATGTAATATTTATTACAGGCACAAAAGTAAACTTTTACCAACATGCTTAACTTGATGTAGTTTTAAGTGTATTCCTAAATTAAACAAGGATTCAAGTTTTTGTAATGAGGTACGTCATTCTATATGATATGTTGCATCCTTTCATGATTGTCACATCATTGCTCATGTGTACAGGTGCACCCCCAGTTCTTGTTTGGTTTAAACCATGGAAGACCATTGTGAGACTGGATATTTTTCACTTCATGAGGCGATTCACTGCTGGTCTCACAACAGAACACCATCCTCTGTATGGCACCTTCTGCTCCAAGTTGTCAAGCTGTATCTTTGAGTGGGACCAGGATGACATCTCTCGTCTCAAGGATGCGAAGAGGTCACAGCTTAAGAGAAAGCATGGTGGTCATGCTCCCACAGAAGCGCAAGTTCTGGCCAACATCAGCTCCAGTGAACTTGCCAAGCACTGCAAAAGGAGAACTCGTGGGGTTGAGGAGACACACAGCCTGATTGAAGGATTGCTGAACTCCATGTGGGCTCTGACTGACACATCAGGATTATGCCTGATAAACCCTGAGAGCATGAAACATGTGTGGGAGGCGCAACAGAAGCACTTGCCATGCATCCAGGATCCACCTGGTGTTGAACTATACACCAAACTTGGCTCTGGGTTACAAAAGGGAGACAAGGTCCTGGATGTATTCAGATGTGGCAGAGGGTCGTCCTCTGTGGAAAGCTTTCATCGCCACCAGTGCACCTTTATCCCGGGTAAGTAGAAATTCTATAGTGATAGAAATTTTTTTTTTTTAAACGCCCTCAACATCAAGCACAAAACAAAACTCTCCCGCATAACTAATCCGCTCAGCATCTCAAAGCCCCCCTATCTGAACTGTACACCCGGGCAGTAATCAGGATAGCCTCTTTGATTAAGCCCCCATCACCCCCTTCAGTCACTGCCATCAGGTCAACGTTGCAAAGTCCCACTGGTTTGGAGCAACGTCTATGGAAAATAATATTTTGATCCTCTGCGATCATTACTCTGAACAAACATAAAAAGGCACTGTACTATAATTTGTTTAACAATGTCAATGTTTAGACATTCTTTTAGTTCTATCTTGGGTGGGTGTTTGTTTGTAGATGGCTTTAAATGTGTATATTGTTTAAATGTTCAGCCTTTCTGTTGTCCTGTGAGAGGCAATAAAGTACACGGACAAAGCAGGCAGGTCAATCCCCACAAAGCAACAGAAAATATCTTATCAATCTAAGTTATAATTTTCTGGTATGTCTCAAGTGTCTAAGAGGAGATACAAAACTAATATTTCAATTATCATTTGTGTTTTTTTTTTTTTCCCAAGGATGGAGAAGTAATGCCATGCACACGCAGATGTACATGCTTGAGGGTGGATCCAGGTGGAACATGAACCGAGCCCATGAAGCTGTGGATGTGAGTGAAACGTCACACACAAGAATCTATGATGTCCGCTTGATGTCCAACGTCAATGCCCTCAGCAACAGTGTCCTTGGCCGTGCACTCATTCGAGAATTTATTCTACCTGGGAAAACCACCGGTAAGATCCTCCAGGAGAGAGCATTTTCCTTGTGACTACACTTTTATAAAGTCAACAAATAAACCTTTACCTGTCTTCACTCACCCATTACAGTGGCAATCTGTCAATTCTGAATTAAACTATGTCTGTTTCCTCATGATTCTTTGTGAGCGTATTGCTGTGGAGTATTTGCTGGCTCAGTCTGACAAAGGTGATCTGCTGAATCCACAACAGCACAGTGAACTTGGCATCATTCTTCCAGACCTGCAGGTAGAAGTTCAGGAGGAGCAGTGTCTTGATCTCTCAATAAGTGATGCAGCTGACATCCTCATTCAGAGACCACCTGAAGCCACCCAGTGTGATGACCAGCTGGATATTGCACCGCCTCAGAATCCTTTACCACCTGACGACTCACCCAACACATCATCTCAGGTAATCTGACCATTTCCTGATCATCTGTCATTGAAATTATACAGGAAAAGTTATTCATTTGTATATACTATGAATGATTTGTGCATATACAGCAATACATTTTGTGCAAAGGCAATTTAATAATCAAAAGGATATTTGTTTCTCTCTCTCTCTCTGTCACACAAATCCCCAGGACACCGGTTTTGATGTAAGCGGTGTCTCTTGCAGTCCTGTCAGTCCAGCCAGTAGTTTACCTGCTGAGGACAATTCCTCTAGTAGACCCAGCACATCAGTCCAGGTAATGAGACTAATGTCTTTCTGTATTATTCTGTGGCTCTGTTACGCTTGCGAACCCGGTGTTATGTCCTGCTTTTCACTGAATAGCACTTGAATGTATGTACTAGGGCTGTCAATCTTCTCAAATATTTTATGCTCAAATGTAGCCTATTCAAATTTACCATGTAACTATACACTATGGGTCCAATTTACTCACATCCCGAATAAACAATACTAATTTCCGAGTGCATTCTAAAATATTGCATGTGCAGTTTTCATGCCTGTTATGAGTGATTTACTAACAATTATTGTGTAGATGACAACAGAAGCAAACACAATTGAGGTGGCAGTATTTAAATGAGGGTTTTGCGTATTTTAATGGTTTGTGCCATGGAGAGTTGGGAGGGAAAGCAGCCACTGCGTAAAAACCTTTGTTTGTTCCACTCAGTGCATCCCGAGTATGCGGTAATTGTCCTGCCTAAGATTGCACTACACAGCAAAATCCCCAGTGTTAAATTAACACTCTGAGTGTGGACTCATATAAACACTGAAGCAGTGTTAAAGTTAACACTGAAGCAGTGTTAAAGTTAATGAGATAATTAAGTGAATAATTGAGTGATGATTGAGCATCATTGAAGACACCTGATGATAACAAGCAGAATCACTGTAGGAGAAAACCGTAATTTTAAGTCACCATTATGGTGATTAGTATTTGCTTTAGTTGGGCTCTTGACCCTTTAATCATTCACTTCAGATTTTGTTTGGCTGCTGTATGTGAGTTATAACAGCCAGATGAACATATAGAAAAGGTGATCTGATGGTGTTGGTTGTGTTTCAACATAATCATTATTTCACAATCATTTGACCTGAATCACTGAACTCATGTATAGGCCAATTTCTGAGTTAGGTTTACTTTATTAATTATAGCAGCACTGTCCATGTATGGCATCATATTTTTAGCCTTTTCAATGAAACCAAATGATCAAAAAAAAAAAACGTCAAAAATTATTTATGTTGGTACACACAGACATCAAGAATTAGCATATGAATCTCAGCAATGGTGACAAACAGATCACTTCTGAACAAAAGCTCATTATTTATTCATGCAGCAATGCATGATTGGAGCCATGAATGAGTTTTTATTGGTGGCACCCAGAATGCACAACAACATGCTTTAATAATTGTCACCATTGTTGAGATTCGCAGGCTGATTCTTGATGTCTTTGTGTCTAAAAACTATATCAAATAAATTATTTAAAAAAAAAAAAAATTATATGAGACGTGTATAAAATAAAATTCTGTGGATTACTTTGTAAAAGTTTAAAACACTATGCTGTGCAAGAATAGTGCTGCAATAATTGATAAAGTAAACCCAATTTGGGCTCTATATGAGTTCAGTAATTCAGGTCAAATGATTGTGAAATAATGATTATGTTAAAACACAACCAACACCATCAGATCACCTTTTCTATATGTTCATCTGGCTGTTATAACTCACGTACAGCAGCCAAACAAAATTTAAAGTTAATGATTAAAGGGTCAAGAGCCCAACTAAAACACACACTGATCACCACAATGGTGATAACGGTTTTCTCCTTCAGTGATTCTGGTTGTTATCATCAGGTGTCTTCAATGATGCTCAATCATCCCTCACTTATTCACTTAATTATCTCATTAACTTTAACACTGCTTCAGTGTTAACTTTAACACTGCTTCAGTGTTTATATGAGTCCACACTCAGAGTGTTAATTTAACACTGGGGATTTTGCTGTGTAAGTACTTGGGAAGGCACACCTAAAAGCCGCTTTGGGGAACCCCAGCAGAAACAGATACAGTGTTCTGCAATGTCCCAGACTCAAGAAAATGCCAGCAGATCGTGCTTCATCTAGCCAGATGATCCGTGTCCGGTTGCTCCGCGATCTCCTGGCCCTGTACACTCCAATGTCCTATTCCCTCTCCGATACCTACAATGGGTTGTGTCGCTATTACACAGCAAAATCCCCAGTGTTAAATTAACACTCTGAGTGTGGACTCATATAAACACTGAAGCAGTGTTAAAGTTAACACTTGAGCAGTGTTAAAGTTAATGAGATAATTAAGTGAATAAGTGAGGGATGATTGAGCATCATTGAAGACACCTGATGATAACAAGCAGAATCACTGAAGGAGAAAACCGTTATCACCATTGTGGTGATCAGTGTGTGTTTTAGTTGGGCTCTTGACCCTTTAATCATTAACTTTAAATTTTGTTTGGCTGCTGTACGTGAGTTATAACAGCCAGATGAACATTTAGAAAAGGTGATCTGATGGTGTTGGTTGTGTTTTAACATAATCATTATTTCACAATCATTTGACCTGAATTACTGAACTCATATAGAGCCCAAATTGGGTTTACTTTATCAATTATAGCAGCACTATTCTTGCACAGCATAGTGTTTTAAACTTTTACAAAGTAATCCACAGAATTTTATTTTATACACGTCTCATATAATTTTTTTTTTTTTTTTTAATCATTTATTTGATACAGTTTTTAGACACAAAGACATCAAGAATCAGCCTGTGAATCTCAACAATGGTGACAATTATTAAAGCATGTTGTTGTGCATTCTGGGTGCCACCAATAAAAACTCATTCATGGCTCCAATCATGCATTGCTGCATGAATAAATAATGAGCTTATGTTTAGAAGTGATCTGTTTGTCACCATTGCTGAGATTCATATGCTAATTCTTGATGTCTGTGTGTACCAAAATAAATAATTTTTGACGTTTTTTTTTTTTTTGATCATTTGGTTTCATTGAAAAGGCTAAAAATATGATGCCATACATGGACAGTGCTGCTATAATTAATAAAGTAAACCTAACTCAGAAATTGGCCTATACATGAGTTCAGTGATTCAGGTCAAATGATTGTGAAATAATGATTATGTTGAAACACAACCAACACCATCAGATCACCTTTTCTATATGTTCATCTGGCTATTATAACTCACATACAGCAGCCAAACAAAATCTGAAGTTAATGATTAAAGGGTCAAGAGCCCAACTAAAGCAAATACTAATCACCATAATGGTGACTTAAAATTACGGTTTTCTCCTACAGTGATTCTGCTTGTTATCATCAGGTGTCTTCAATGATGCTCAATCATCACTCAATTATTCACTTAATTATCTCATTAACTTTAACACTGCTTCAGTGTTAACTTTAACACTGCTTCAGTGTTTATATGAGTCCACACTCAGAGTGTTAATTTAACACTGGGGATTTTGCTGTGTACGACCGGCGTGCTGTAAACTGTTGGTAATCGTTCCCTCTGGCTGGATGAATTTTACGCGTGATCCATGCACTGCAGCAGACTTCCATCTGACAGAGAAAAGGAGTCAGGTCGAAACGAAATTTGCTTTATTGGCATGAATGTTAATACAACAGTATTACCAAAGCTAAAGAAAAAAACTAAAAAAACAATTCCATTCATAAAGTTCATCGAATAAATAAAATAAACTAATTATATTTCTATGTATTGGATATAGAATAATATTATAAAATATTGTTAATTTCTCTACGTCTTCTTTCATTACGGCTCTGTCTCCTTCTGTCAACTATAGCGGCAGCCATCTCTGCGCAACACTTGGCGGTTTGCACCTTCCTTTCAAACGTATTAAACACAGATGCTGTTGCACTCTCACTAAATTACGGTTAGGTTTGTTAGATCACATTGCGTGTAGTAAATAAATGTATTTGCTTTGCACAATAAAACTGAAACGCCCCAAATTGCATTTTCATTAAGGCAAAAGTACTAAATGAACAACAGGTGCTATTTTGCACTTTTTAAAGACGTCGTTCTGCTTGCACACCGTTAGTAGATCAGCTTATGTGTTAATTTGCTGGTGATATCAAGTTTGCACACGTTTTTACTCACGCAAACCTTTAGTAAATCAAGCCCTATCAGTGTATAGTTACATGGTAAATTGTAACGCAATTACAGTAACATATTTATTTTTGCTGTAACACAGTAATATAACGCATTAAAAAAAACGGTAATATTATACCCGTTAAAATCAGATGTAATCTTCAATGACAGTAACTAGTAATATATAATGCATTACATTTTAGAAGTAACTTACCCAACTGTACACTATAGACACAGGGTTATGCATTGCTAATGTCATTCTGTAAACCAGATGGAACTCCAAAATTACCAGTAGCCTAACCATTTGGAACCTAAGAAAAGTTTATTTGTATAGCACCTTTCACAGATAAAAAATCACAAAGTGCTTCACAGTAAAATGTAACACAATACAAGTACAATACAAAGCATAAGAAAATTTAAAAACTAATGGAAAACATTGAAACAAAAACCATAAAAAAAACCCACTTCTAACTAAAAGCCTTTTTGAATAGCAGCGTCTTCAGTTGCTTTTTAAAAGAATCAACAGAATTCACACAGGGAGGCAAAGCATTCCACAGCCTAGTTGCCACTGCTTGGATTGAACGATCCCCACTGGATTTAAAATGAGTGTAGGGAACCACTAACAGCCTCTGACCTGATGACCTCAAACTACGGGTCGGAGTATGAAGTTGTATTAACTCAGAGATGTAGGGAGGAACTTGACCGTGCAGGGCTTTTAAAGAAAGGACCAGGATTTTAAATTGAATTCTATACTGGGCTGGTAACAAGTGAAGTGATGCTAAAACAGGTGTGATGTTTGTTAATGTGGGTTAAAAGCCTTGCAGCAGAGTTCTGATCAGCCTGGAGACGGTGAAGCTCCTTCTTGCTCAAACAAGTAAAAAGACTGTTACAGTAATCTAAACGAGAGGAAATAAAAGCATGAATGATCATCTCCAACTCACCCTTTGACACCAGTGTTCTTAATTTGGATATATTCCTCTAAGCCCAAACACAGTTTATCTTTCTTGCAATAATGACTTATGTGACTGTGTCACCTGTCTACATACTCTGTTTAAAGTAGGATGACATTTGTTAAATGCAGCAACACTGCACCCAAAATAAATCCCCCTAAGAGGACTATTAAGTACAAAGTAAGTTATTTCTTCAACAGCTGTTTTTCATTTTTCAGGAAAGCCGATGTGATTCAAGAGGTTTTCCTGGCTGGGAGGCGGTTGATAACCTGGCGGAGTACCTCGTGAACCTCAACCGCACAATAGCTGCTTTGTCAGCCACAGAAACAGCTGAGATTGTGCGGCTGTATTCTAGATTGCATGAAATGGACAAGTCTCCCTCCAAATATTCTCTGAAAAGCAAGAAGAAGACCTTGCCAGGGCCATGGAGAGCTTCCAGGAAACGCAGTGGCTCTGCACCTGGTCAACAAGCAGCTGAAAGGTGAACTGACCAATAGTTGATGCACATATTATGTAATTCATATTTATCATAATTATCAAATTATAACACTTAAGCTGTATTACACAAGCAATAATTCAGACAGGTGGACTGCTATAAATAGTCAAATCGTGAAGTGGAATTATACTATGTCTCATAAAACGCCTCTCCAATCATAGTAGCGAACCAAAACCACCTGTTGTATTATATTGATTATATATATCTAGATAGATATAGATATTTATTATATACAAATATTGTCTTTTTCATTCAGACTATTCATGACCCATGGCCAGGGTGCCCAGAGACCTGATTTCAACAGGACTTCAGAATGTGTTTCCCTCAGGCTTTTGAAGGAGTTTGCCCAAGCTAGAAATAGGCCAAGAGACTGCAAGGGTAAAACCCTGCCCATTCCACAGTCTATTGTACAAGCTTACCATCACATTAAGCAACTTCTTGAAGACAGCCGGGTGATACAAGAGCAGACCAACTTGGTGCTAGTTACTATCAACAACACCACAGTGTCTTCTTGGTGAGATATCTTTTTTGGCTTCCTACATTCACTTTAACATCTGCATTTGAGAAGTGTAAATATATTGCATTATTTTTAATTTAACCAGGTATGATTTGATTAAGCTACAACCTTTGCAATTGTGCTTCTATGAAATGGTAAACATTTTGTTTTGTACTTTTTCCAGGTTGCATGACAGGCAGAAAAGAACTGACCGGGACTCATTGCTGCAAGGCGTACAGCTACCCCAGAAGGTCTCTGTGGCTAAGGATCCTCTGCCACAAGCAAGAGCACTTCCTTCTGCACCCGTGGAACATGGACATGCAAAAATACAGTTTCAGGAGCCAGAAAATCATGAAGGTGAGGCAGTGATACGCCCGCGCCACAGCTTCAGAAGTGGATCGGCACTGGCACAGCACTATCCTCTTGGGCCGTATGTATGGCCTGCCTCTTCTGCCTTGTTGTCCTCAGATCAGCAGGAACACACTTCCCCAGCCCCATCGCCTGCCTGGCCTTCTTACCAGCAGGGTCATCTGCCACCAGTCCAACCTCCTGCCTGGTCCTCCCACCAGCAGGAACACACTTCCCCAGCCCCATTGCCTGCCTGTTCCTCTTACCAGCTGGGCCATACCTCACCAGCCCAACCTCCTGTTTGGCCCACTTACCAGCAGGGTCATCCGCCACCAGCCCAACCTCCTGTTTGGCCCACTTACCAGCAGGGTCATCCGCCACCAGCCCAACCTCCTGTTTGGCCCACTTACCAGCAGGGTCATCCGCCACCAGCCCAACCTCCTGTTTGGCCCACTTACCAGCAGGGTCATCCGCCACCAGCCCAACCTCCTGGCTGGTATCAGCAGGGTCATCCGCCACCTGCCACTTCTCCTGCCTTTTCCTCACAATCACCTCTCAGCAGTACACCATCAGATCAGTCTTTAGTCATTTTCAATCGACACCGACAGTGGAGACAGCAAAAGGCAGCACTTGAAGACGAGAAGCGTTTGGCAAGAGGGGAGCCACCAAAGAAGCGTCAGACGAAGGAACATTACCATTATGTGTGTAAAACATGTGGCCAATCAAAAAGTAAACAAACTGGCCATTCCCAGGTTAAAGGAAAGTGGTACTGTCCAGCATCTGGACAGACCATTGCAGAGTGGAAAGATTCTCTTTAGGCTTTTTGTTGTGATTGAGTACACGGTTAAATCAGCTCTTTAATTTTTATGTTAGTGCATTAAGTACATTGAGTAAATTTGAAGGAAACCTCTAAAAAATAAGTGTGTGTGTGAATGTATTATATATAACAATTTTTTTCTACATTTTATTAAGCTGTATTTGTAGAAGTATATTATTATTATTATATCTAGCCATTTAATTGTGTGTGTGTGTGTATATATATATATATATATATATATATATAAAAGGCTACTGAGTTTTGTTATTATTATTATTATTATTATTATAACTTACTAACTTACTATTCTGTAATTGAATGAATGAATGAATGAATGAGGCATTTATATAGCGCTTTCAAATGTACTACTGTACACCCAAAGCGCTTTACAATCATATCAGGGGGTCTCTCCTCAACCAGCACCAGTGTGCAGCATCCACTTGGATGATGCGACGGCAGCCACAGTACAACGGCGCCAGTGCGCTCACCACACACCAGCTATAGTTGGAGAGGAGAGAGAGTGATAGAGCCAATTCAGTGGATGGGGATTATTAGGAGGCCATGATTGGCAGGGGCCAATGGGTGGAATGTGGCCAGGACACCGGGGTAATACCCCTACTCTTTACGAGAAGTGCCATGGGATTTTTAATGACCACAGAGAGTCAGGGCCTCGGTTTAACGTCTCATCCGAAGCAAGGTATAATTGTTTTATAATACTTTTAAATAATACTATTTTTTTTTTATTACTATTCATAATATATCAAACTATTTGTAATAGTAGTAGGTGTGTATTATTACTTGTATTACATGTAGCTATTTAAGTTTGTATTCATTATATAGATTTTAGCTTTTATTTGTGCTTTTAGCTGTTTTATGATTATTTTCAGGAAATGCACATTCTAGTTGTTGTTATTATTATTATTATATATATATTATTATGATTATGAAAGCAAATTTGTGGTAGTAATTGTATTTCATTATATATTAAACTTTATTTTTATATTTAATTTATATATATAATATTATATTTAAGTGTGTATGTATATATATATTCCTTATTTCTATTGTAAATGTTGAACTTTAAGAATATTTGTGGTAGTAAGTGTATAATAAATAATTGTATTTACATATAGGCCTATTTGGACTTTTATATTTCATTTTTATTATTACATATAAGTCAAGTCAAGTCATCTTCATTTATATAGCGCTTTTAACAATGAATTGTTTCAAAGCAGCTTTACAGAGATAAACATATAATTTAAGGTAACAGATTGTTTTGGCGTTATAGCGGTTCTTGAATAACGTTACTTCCAGCTAAAGTTAACTTTGATTGATTCACCTCCGTCGAAATGATCAGACTTTAAACGCGAACCTGTGATTAACGCTGACGGCGTTCACATGCTCATTCAGAATTCTATAGTTATGTGCTTTTTAAAATATGTGCGCAGGTTTGTAATTCATACAACCCAGCCTAAACAAACTACTTTTCTTGCCTATAAATTTTGATACAGAATTTTGTTTTATTTTATCACTTCGGGGTACGCGAGCCGGAATTCACAGCGCTTTATCTGTAGAGTGGGAAAGGGATCCTCCATAGGGAGAGGATAGTGGATACTTCAGCACTGCATTGTCATCGGGTCCAGGCAAAGCTCCCTCATCAGATCTGGACACGGCCTGGATCCGGCAGGCTGCAGGAAAACCTCGGGATAAACAAAGACACTAATATTAGCGTAGATGCCATTCTTCTTATGATGTAGCGAGTACATCAAGATTTAAGGGAAGTGTTCCCAGTTCCGGCTGACCTAATCTATGCAGCCTAACATTGAATTTATAGAAGTCTATAATGTATTATGTGTATGCTAGGTCAAAGAGATGTGTTTTTAGTCTAGCTTTGAACTGACAGAGTGTGTCTGCTTCCCGGACAATGGTAGGAAGACTGTTCCAAAGTTTTGGTGCTAAATAGGAAAAGGATCTACCGCCAGCAGTCGATTTAGATATTCTAGGTATTATTAACTGGCCGGAATTTTGAGATCGCAATAGACGTGAAGGACTATAATGCGTTAAGAGCTCATTCAAGTACTGCGGAGCTAAACCATTTAGTGCTTTGTAGGTAATCAACAATATTTTAAAATTTATACGATGTTTAATAGGGAGCCAATGCAGTGTTGACAGAACCGGGCTAATATGGTCATATTTCCTGGTTCTGGTAAGAACTCGAGCTGCAGCGTTTTGAACTAGCTGTAGTTTGTTTATTAAGCGTGCAGGGCAACCACCCAGTAGAGCATTACAATAATCTAGCCTTGAGGTCATGAACGCATGGACTAATTGTTCCGCATTTCCCAATGAGAGCATATGGCGTAATTTAGATATATTTTTAAGATGGAAAAATGCAGTTTTACAGATACTAGACACGTGGCTTTCAAAAGAAAGGTTGGTATCAAATAGCACACCCAGGTTCCTAACCGACGACGAAGACTTGACAGAGCAGCCATTAAGTGTTAGACAGTATTCTGGATTATTACGTGTGGAAGTTTTTTGTCCAATAATTAGAATCTCTGTCTTTTCAGAATTAAGTAGTAGGAAATTACTAGTCATCCAATTTTTTATATCAGCTATGCATTCCGTTAATTTTGTGAATTGGTAAGTTTCGTTGGGTTTTGAAGAAATATACAGCTGAGTATTATCGGCATAACAGTGAAAGCTAACTCCATGTTTCCTAATGATATCTCCTAATGGTAGCATGTACAGAGTGAACAGCAGCGGTCCTAGTACTGAGCCTTGTGGTACGCCATACTGAACTTGTGATCGATAAGACATCTCTTCATTTACTGCTACAAACTGATAACGGTCAGTTAAGTATGATTTAAACCATGCTAATGCAATTCCACTAATGCCAACATAGTTTTCTAGTCTATTTAAAAGAATATTGTGGTCAATGGTGTCAAATGCAGCACTAAGATCGAGTAACACTAATAGAGAGATACAACCACGATCGGATGATAAGAGCAAATCATTTGTGACTCTAATGAGAGCGGTCTCAGTGCTATGGTACGGTCTAAATCCGGACTGAAAATCCTTGCAGATATCATTTCTTTCTAGAAAGGAACATAGTTGTGAAGATACTGCTTTTTCTAATATCTTTGACAGAAAAGGCAGATTCGAGATCGGCCTGTAATTGACTAATTCTGTAGGATCAAGTTGTGGTTTTTTAACAAGCGGTTTTATCATAGCCAGTTTAAAGGTTTTTGGTACGTATCCTAGAGACAAAGATGAATTAATGATATTAAGAAGAGGATATATGACCTCTGGAAACATCTCTTTCAGTAGCTTAGTCGGTATAGGATCTAACATACAAGTTGTCGATTTAGATGAATTAACGAGTTTGCAGAATTCTTCCTCTCCTATAGCAACAAATAAATCAAATTTTTCCTCAGGGAGACTACAATGCACTTCCTGATGCGATACTGTGGTAGACGGTTGCATAGTTATAATTTTGTCCCTGATATTATCAATCTTATAAGTGAAGAAGTTCATAAAGTCATCACTGCCGTGTTGCTTTGACACTTCTGAGCTTGAAGCTTTCTTTTTCGTTAGTTTAGCCACTGTTTCAAATAAATACCTAGGATTATGTTTATTTTCTTCTAATAGGTTTGAAAAATAAGCAGATCTAGCAGCTTTTAAAGCCTCTCTGTAAGCAATTAAACTCTCTTTCCACGAAATCCGAAATACCTATAGTTTAGTTTTCTTCCAGTTGCGCTCCATTTTTCTGGCTGCTCTCTTTAGGGCCTGAGTGTGCTCGCTGTACCACGGCGTTGGACTATTTTCTTTAATCTTCTTTAAGCGCAACGGAGCAACTGCGTCTAAAGTGCTGGAAAAGAGAGAGTTAAACGTTTCTGTTGCAATATCGAGTCTCAGTCTCTATATGATGATATCTAGGTGAAAGAGGCTCTATGTGATGGGATTTATCTGACCTTGGTGACGTGAGGCCGTAACATACGTTACATTTGATATTTTGGAATACACTATTTGTGGAAAATATGTGTTGTACATTTTATTCTTTCAAATTGTTTTGTGATAAAATACAATTTGACACTTTTTGTTTTGTAAAATAGGTCTAAAATGGGTTTAAATATTGACTTTTCAGTCATTGAATTATTTTTATATTTTCATATATTCATTTGGCAGATGCTTTTATCCAAATCGACGTACATTGTATTTCAAGGAGCACATTTTACATTTTTGTCAGTTCTTGCTTTCCCTGGGAATCGAACCCACGATTCTTCCGTTTTCTCCCCCTTCTTTCGGCGCTTCTTTTCCTTTCGGCGCAGACCTCCCCTAATCACTTGCTGTCCTCTTACCAGCCTTTGAGGGAGGTGGGCTTCCTCTTCAAGAAAAGATGTGGTGATGTGTTATTTCCCAGCATTTGGTGTTGTTTTGCCTTCTGTAATGCTTGGTTGCTGTCTCAGCAAGCAGTGGAGGGGGACTTTAGAGAAACGAGCTGAAGCTTGCCGTCGACTATGTATGTTCAGTCACTTCTAAGCGGTCGTGTGCAGGCCTGAGTGAGTGGTTTGCTTTCTCTGTATAGTGTTTAGTACTTTGTGTTGTGCCCGCAGCATCCCCAGTCCAAATCCGGATCACGACACTCTTTTCGTGTAGGTGAAGACGTCGTTGAACTCCTTTTTGCCATCACAGTATTTTAGTCGAGTGCATCCTCTGCTGCTCGCTTTTGCATTGATGGTTGGCCCCAGTGTCCTCTGTTGCTCACATCCAGAAAAAAAATAGCATGTGACCCACAGGCAGGAGTAGTTTTGGCCGAGAGGTTAAGGCGATGGACTTGAAATCCATTGGGGTCTCCCTGCGCAGGTTCGAACCCTGCCGACTACGTGGATCCTCGTCACTTTGTCTGTTTGCAACAGGAATTGTGACATCCAGGAGCTGTGTACAATCTGGATTTTTCTCTTACTTCATATGCAGCACTTAAAATGGGCAACTCACATCTCT